TTTTTTTTTTTTTTAAAAAAAAAAAAAAAAAAATAGGTATACATAGAGGACGTATATGCTGGATTGTTTTAGCGTTATCTACATAAAGATGTTACAGAAATTTCAATAATATAGTAAGATTTTTATTTTTCATTCTCATTTTCATTTTCATTTTTTTTTTGTTTTCTTAATACGTGAAATCATTTTATTATTGTATTATTATTATTGAAATTAATAAAATAAAAATCAATTAAAAAATATATTTTTGAGAAACTTTTGTTATATAATGATAGTATTTTTTCATTTGAGAGGTTGTTCATAAATAAATTTTTTAAACCAACTTTCCTACAAAGATCTCAAACCTCCATTTTTAAATCAAATTGCAGTTTATATTATTATATAAGTTGATTTTTACCTTTTTTCGTTCATAAATTTGACAATATTAAAAGATTCATTCCCATTATAGACGTATAAATGATTCGGATGAATCATATAGGGTATTTTTTTTAGTAAATAATTAATATGTATCCGTTGTCTACATCTACGGTTAATGTAAACAAGCTAAAAATTGAAACACGAAGACTTTCGTACACGCTCAGTGAATTATGAACTTACAATAATTAATGAAAAAAACCACTCGAAAAAACTGTCCAATCACATATGTCGCTAAACCACTTACCGCTGGAATCACTGAAAAACCTGGAGCGGTTGCACTATCATGTAATGAAAAATTCTAATCGTCATAAAAAGGAAAACATTAACATCATGTATTGTCGATGAAATGATCACCGATCACGTGTCTAATGATGTAGTGCCTCGGCTTTTTTATTTTAATCTATTACCTAATTCAAGATTTTGTTATAAATCCAGATCAATTTACACTTTACAATTACTCACTATTCAAATATGCCATAAAAATTAAAACAAACCATTAACAAATCAATTTTTTGACACGACTAATTTTACATTTCACATCCATTTTCTAGCGTTACATAGACTATCTAATAGTAAAAAGTGTAAGATTCCCAAATTTTGGTTACAATTTTACAATTTCGTAATTATTTAAATGTAATTAAAATTTTTTCTCACAATTATTTATCAAGAAAGATATTAACTTTTTTCAGTTAAAAATGACATGATGGTTTAAATCATTTGATTTCTTTTTACTTTTTAAACTAATAAATAATTGAATAAAGATATTGTTTTAATTGTTATCATATTTTTTTTTGCTTTTATTAAAAATACAATATATTAATCATTCTTAATTCATAAATAAAATTTAATTAATTGTTAATATGATTCTTTCATCAAAAATAATTATAAAAAAAAGAATTTTATTTATTAAAATAAAACTGAAAATTGATCATGATGAAATATTGAAATGCTGTGTGTATAATACTGTATATTAACTGTATTGTTATTAATAAATATTACGGCCCTACCACAAGGGACTTCCTAAGAAGTGTACTATGCTCCTCCCATGAAAACTACGCATAGCACCATGCCGTACCACAAACCAACCGGTCCTATCGCAGGACTGCAGCAAAAACTGGTACCCGCGAGCTTACTAAGATGTAAGCGCCTATGCTCCAACCCTCGCATAGTACTATACCGCTCCAAAAATTCCAACCAGCCCTACTATGAGACTGCAGCAAAAAGCTGGTACTCACAGGCTTACAGAGTAAGCACGCTATGCCCCCACCCATGCATAGCGTCATGCTGCTCCAACAAAAGTACCCAAGAATATAAGGAAGAGTGAAAAGAACGAGACGTTAAGAGAGGAAGAAGAGAAGCAGAGAATAGTAAGAGAGATGGCAAGAACGGGTAAGACGAGGAAAAAACCTAGAGAAGAAAGAAAAAGAGAAAGACAAGAAAGGGGAAGAAAAGAAGAGTGAGAGTAAAGGGAGACGAGTGTGAAGGAGGGAGGAGTAAATATGACTAAAAATAGAAATAATCAGTAGCTGGAGTTGAAAAAATCTTTGCAAAAGATGACTCATGGATATTGATCAAATGATCATTCACATCATATATGATCGCGTACGCTGATCCATATGGCTGTAATTCGGGACAAAAATTCCCTTAAAAAATCAGACCTCAAAGGTAGAAAACTACTTAAAGTTCAAATTGCAAAATAACTTACTACTTACTAGTAAATGTAAAAAAAGGCCTGGAGAAACTAATAAGTGTGAAAATATTTGAGAGTTATTCGATCTGTGTATCTAAAAATAAATGGGCCATTTTTTATTAGGTAACTTGATATACTTTTGATTTATATAGTTGACCGCGCGCTCCAACGTCACGTGCGACAAAGTACTTTCGATTTGCAGATACAATACAAAATAAAAATTTATGATTGCGCCAATAATATAGTACAGAATTTTTTTTTTTATACTCTATTTAATAATATCGTAACAATTCCACGAAGTACACCTGTAAAAAAAGTGTTATATTCTAAAAGACAAAAAACCAATAATACAGATTTACTACACGCTTGTCTTAAATATATAATACTACTTCAAAATCCCCTAATATCAATTATTCTTATTTCACTTACGTATTTTCCTTTAATCATCAATTTTCCAGAAACACAGTTACAGTACCTTTTATTTTCATAGATTACGTACTCTCCTGAAAGATAAACTCAATGCACTTAAAACTGGAATTTCAAACGCGAATAACAAAAATAGAAAATCTACCGTATTTATCAGGGTTTCATACAAAGATTACGTCATTATCTTTGGCACACCCAAAGATGCCAAATAAACAATGCTCATTACCATCCAGTTATGTTATGTCTAAAAGCCGTTGGCGATGTAAGGAACACGATATTGACACCAATTACCTCATATTCCACAAGATCGTAGATATTATTACGACCAAATAAAGAACAAAGTCAAATATAATGATAAGAAAAAAAGGAATATGTCTATATAAAGAGATACACAGCAATCGTCTAGGTGTGAGTTATTATATAACGCTTAAATGGTTTCGCTTTGTAAATATCTCCTGATTTTTGTAAATGCATGCGGGTAAGTCTATTCCATCGTTCAATTTGTTTGGGCGATCTCACGATGTCAAATTTAAGTTGAGAATATTCCTTGTAATATATTCTATGATCCGTAAGATATACGCAGGGGTTGGTCCAAGTCTTTAAAAAATGTTCCAATTTTTTAGGATTATAACTTCTCCTTGGTACGTCTTGTAAAGACAACTCACACGCCAAATCCATAAAAGTCATTCAACATTTACATATAATTCACGCAACACCTGTTTATTCGGAAAAAGAAAATCCTCAAGAATTATATGCGAAGGCTTAGGAGAAATGAACAAAAATATAATTAGATTTACCTCGAGTCCTGTAACGAAAGTTTTACATAAGTACGATCATCTTAATAAAGTTGGCTCCTGGTATAATTATATTACTAAAGATCCAGTTATTTCACGCCTATCGTGTCTAAAGATGTGGAATTCTCCGTCTCCGATCAACAGCCAAACATCTTTCTCAAGCGTATCCCTCCGCTTTCGAAATTGACCCCGAAGACGAACAACCAAATAAAAAGAAATCATATCGACTGATCGCGACTCTCTAGAAAGTCATATGATAGAATGTCCTCCGTTATATGATTAATTATGATTTAGTCCTATATATAGTTTTATTTGTTATTTTTGTATTTTATAATTAGATCTTTTTTTCTTTTTTACATCTTTTTTAAAAGATATAATCCTATGGTTCATTTTTCACAAAACATTCCACACCTGCCAGGTATCATTTTTTTGATAAAGGAAAAAGACGGACTTTCTTAGTAGATAGATTTTTTATTACTTCTACCTAATTATTTGGAATCTTGATCTTTCTCTTTATATAGTTTTACAGCGTGTAAGAATTTGACTTATATACATTCACTTTCTTAAAAATAGAAACTAAAATAAAATTCAATCACCACAAATATGCATCACACAATCAAACACAAACATAAACAACGAAATCGTAATCATAACAATTCCATGATCCTATAACATCAACACACAATCATCCAACTACATTCAATAAACTTACTAAACTTATTCCCACAAACATTAAACAACATCCCAAACAAAATCATACGTATTATCAGGATCAAGATCAATACCATCACACTCTTCTCTGCTGAAAGTACTAAATTATTTTGATTTATAATCACCTAAGTATGTACTAGACGCTTTTGCATATTTCTCCTAAGACTTTACTATAATGAGTGGCAGACAAGAATCCCTTTTTTAAGACTCAAAGCCCGTCCTGTTTACAGGAAAATCTTGATTACATTTTTGATATCGGAACTGATGAAATTTTACCTGAACGTACCATCAGAAGAGCTCACCATATACTATAAATGACAACGAGAAGAAGAAAGTACGATAAATGTGACCTTTCATTCACAAAATTTTGAATTAGCATCGATTGTTCTTTTATCGCCAAAGGGTTACTTCAAGAAATTTTATATTACTGCGGGAGGATAGTTCGGGAAAAGAATCAACAGGCCGGGTTGACTACGCTAAAATCCAAACAACTTATTCCTTCGTTTAAACCATTTTGTAATATACACATCTATAATTTATAATAAAATACTTTATGTTATACTATTAGAAAAGTTTGATATATTGATATGTAAAGAAAGAATAATTTATATAATTTGGATCTAGACTAGTGTTGATCGCCTTAAGTCATTATATATCACAATGTAATAATAGTGACAGACTTAAAAATTGGGTAAGATCATGTTATTTGTGTCATCTTTTTTTTTTTTTCTTAAAAAAATTTTCTTAAAAAAAAAAAGAAATGGAGAGAGCTAAATTAGAATATAACTCGGAAGAGAATAGAGGAAAGTCATTAAAACAAGATCTGGGATTAATAATAAATAACCCAAGATATAGTGATATAAAAATTATATGTAATGATAAAAAGGAAATATATAGTTCTAGAGCAATTTTAGCAGCAAGATCAGAAGTATTTGATGGATTACTTTATAATGGAATGAAAGAAAGTTATGAAAATCAAATTTATCTTCCAACAGTTAATTCTACTATAATGAAAATTATATCAGAATATATTTATACGGGATCAATTAAAGAACCTTTAACTAAAGATAATATAGTTGAAATTTTTAATGCAGCAGATTATTTTCAATTATTACCTTTGGTTGATTTTATTATTGAAACTGTTAAAGATGAATTAAAAGTTAATTATAGAAATAATTATTCACCTGAATTATTATCTAAGGCTGTAGATACAATGATATTATCGGAAGATAATATTCTCCTTAATATGTTGATTAAAGCAGTATCGACTACTCCTTTAAATACTATTGAATTTGGTCGATTATCTATTAAGGCTCTTCAATATCTTTTATCTTGTACACATAAAAAACAGAAGCCCTTTGCAACCCCGGAATATGAAGTTTTTCGGTATAGTGCTCTCCTTGTATCAAAAGAAATTTCTAATAATACATATAAAACTCTAATGGAACTGTTGCCAACCTTAAAAGAATTAGAAAAATCAATCAAAGTAAATAATAAATGGATTACCAATCGTCAGAAAGTTGCTAAGGAATTGGCGGCTTTAGTCAAATTTATTGATTTCAGACGAATTAAGGAACAAATAATAACTGATATTATCGAACCATTAGAAATTACACCAACAGTATCTATTTATCGATCATATAATAGTTATTGTAATAATGATACTCGTGGAATACCACAGTTATACAACTTTAAAAGATATTCATATGAAATTCGCTCATGGTCAGCATGTATATTTGTAAATGCATCAAGTGAATTAAGTGATCAATAAGAGTATAATTGAATTATTGAGAAAAATTATGAAAAGTCTTTGAGATTTTGATTTCTATAATAAGTAATTTTTATCTAGAATAGCTTGAGCGATTTATCTTTATAATAATAATCAATAAAAATCTTAGCAGCCGCTTTAAAATTTATTATGCATCACAGTATGTTCCAACTTTGAATTTAAATTTTTAATCGTGATAAGTTCCTAAGTTGACTGTTGAAATTAAAAAAAAATGAAAAAATTTTTGTAGAATTAATCTTACATTTACATTAAACATATGAATAGAAATTACTCTTCCCCTGTAAGTCGAAAGGTAAAATTTCTAAAATTTTTCATCTCGATAAGTTTAAATTGTTCTCTTATAAATTCGGGTTACGTTCGCTTTAATATCACGTGATATTTTGTGATACAATCAAAAGTTTTAAAATTTCATCCCAAGTTTATTCTCAAAAAACCATTATGAATTTATTTCAGTAATCGTTTGTTTTGTACTAATAATCTTTCACATAATTGAAAATGAAATAAAATATTCTAAAAGTATTTTAGGAAAAATAAAAATTGGAAAATTGAGATAAAATTGGGGATAACATTACTGTGGCGCAATTCATAAAATCATTTAATCAGCTGATCCCTCGTTATCTGAATTATCTCAAATATTTATCACCGTAATTTACCAGTATATTCCATTTATAAAGAATGAAAATGTTAAAAGAACCTATATATAAAAGTATTTGAAAGAACAAAAAAAAAAAAAAAAAAAAAAAAAAAAAATAACGAACCAAAATCCTTTGTCGTTACATTTCAAACTTTAATATAATCCTTATTTAGATAATTAATTTTTCCATTTTTTTTTTTTTTAAACTACTATCAGAATAATTTGATTTACAATAAAAACTTTTATGTTCATGTAACGTACGCCCAAATCCCATATCAAAACCAGGATATATATAGTATGCAACTAAACTTTTTATGTACTGATGTGTTAAAATAATTTATATAATGTAACAAAAAATTTGTTATTGGTTCAAACGTTTTCAAAAAACTCATTCCCAAAATTAACTCACAATCAATCTTTTCAAAAAATATTATATATATTACAGGAATATAATTTTAATCTACTTGCATTTCAACTTATAGTATTCAATTTTTAAATATCAATTTTCTTTTCATTTTTATTTGGTTGCTCGTTCATTGGTATTTTATTATTTACTTATTATTTATTACCGCGTTTATAAAATTAATTTAATACCTTTTCTTTGTTATCTTTTTTTTTTTAGTCCAGAAATAAATCGGTTATACCTTCTGTTTTTAATAAAACCACGGTGTCTTTATCCGGACTGGTAATAAAATTTTGTTATTTTATAGATTTATATTCGTAATTTCTTTGTCTCGATATTTAATTGTCGACATTTATCAGTTTAAGTGGCGCAGTGGCGCAGAAGAATCAATTCTTTCTTACTCCCCTTTTTGGCGTACGAGACTCTATCATGCAAAACTTTAAGTTTACGTCAATGAATCTGAATTTTAAAGAAGGAATTGAAAATTCCAAAGACTTAAATCAAATGACTGAGGTATATAATGCCGTAAATTATTAGAGTTGTTTTACACTTAAAATCATTGATATTTTAGTAATGCTCTAACAATTGAAATTTTCAAATTATTCCAGGTGAAAGTATAACGAATTTTAGCAATAGAAGGGAATCGATTTAAATTGAGATTTCAAATTATTTTAGGTTGAAGGTATAACAAATTTTAGCAATAGAAGGGAAATCGCTTTAAATTGAGATATCACAATTGCTAAATTCGCAAACACAATCACCACAAACATATGAATATTATGATAGAGAAATAGTCAAGATAATCGCTAGAGATCAATGCAAAAAATGATTGCATGTCAGAAAATTGAATTTATTGAATTTATTATATTTATTATATTTATTATATGTTTATATTTATTATATTTGTTATATTTGTTATATTTATTATATTTGTTATATTTGTTATATTTATTATATTTGTTATATTTGTTATATTTGTTATATTTATTATATTTATTATATGTTATATTTATTATATTTATTATATTTATTATATGTTATATTTGTTATATTTATTATATTTATTATATGTTATATTTGTTATATTTATTGTATATATTTATTTCATTAATTTTATTAAATTTATTTTTATTCTTTATTGCGTCTGATCGTATTGATGCACTGATGAGGTTTTGTTCATATAAACATTGATTCCTTATAAATTTAATAAAATTTATTTCAACAAACATTCAAAGACTGACGTTCACAATACTATTACCGTATCGCTATACTGAATAGATAATTTGTACTGAGAAAGCTTCAGAGAAAAAAAAATTATACAAAATTCAAGTATTACTTTTTCGTTTACCAATAATAAACATATTAATGTAACATGCTGACGCTGAAAAAAAATGACAATACACTGTCTTGCTTGACATGACATCAGTAGTATTAAGTCCTTTGTACAGGTCGACATTGCTTTTAAATATCTCAATAAATCGACATTTTGGACCAAATAATTAAATAAATATTGGGAGAGAATTTTTTTAAACATATTTTTTTTATTATACCGTATATTCTCCACTTTAAATTTTTTTTTTCTTAATTGCGTAATTTATTTGAAAGGTACGCATCCACAATGTGAATAATTGAATGATCCTCACTTGTCGTTTTATAACTTGTATATTTGTATTTCCAAAACTTTCCATTTCTCTATTAATAAATTTATTTATTTCCGTGTTTACTTTTTTCGTTGAAAAATGATTTTGAACGAAAGAACAAAGAATTATTTTTTTAAGTGTATTTCATTTATATTAATGCGATTTTTTTCGCAAAGATATTAGATAAGACATTTAATAAGATTAAGAACCTTTAAACGTATTGTATTGTATAGTAAGCTAAAATTATTAAACATTATTATGGACTTGTGGTATATTAAGCCTTAATAAATAAAAAATAAGAAATAAGAAATAAACGAATTAATTGATTTAATGACTTATAAAAATATCATCTATTAACTTTTTTTTTTATAACCTGGGCAATTTATCAGAACAAACAGAACAAAAAAAAAAAGTTCGGTCTATTCTATCCGGAAAAAAAAATTCTTTATTTTATATATATATGTACTTTATTTTGAAATTCGGTTTTATCTAAATTTTTTATCAAATGTATTGATCGAAAATTTAGTATCGGTATAATTTTTCTTTACTATCGTTTTTATGAAAACAGCCGCTATAAAATATATCTTTTGGAATGAACGGGTAAGAAAATGATTTGATCTGTCACAATTTTAAGAGATGAATTCTAATCACTAATTTGAATTTTTTGCTATAAAAAAAGTGAATAGATATTTAAAATAAACAATGATAATATAAAAATGGTATATACAATGAATTTCACGATAAAGCGATTTTCAAGATCTTTTTATCTTTATATTTGTGAATATATAATGATCGTTATATCAAACTTAAAAGTTTCGATATAGCGATTTTTCATGAGTTTGTTATACTAAGTTCTGTCTGTACTTTAGTTTGTTTATCTATTATATATATATACTGTAAGGACAGTAACAGTATGTTCACTTAATTTTTCAGAATTGGCTTAATTTAAAAGCTTTAGGAGTTCTCGCGGTTAATATATGTTTTGTTTTCTTTAATTATTTTTTGTAAAACGACCCGAGGAATTTTATCATTATCCATGATAGCATTATTTGAAAATATTTTGCTTCGTTTTAAAAGATAAATTTTTTCAAAATCTCACGAGTCACGTTCGATATTTAATTCTGGCCAGTTATAATTCCTGCCAGAATTAACAAAATCACGTGAACCAGCCAGTGTGAATCTTTTTTTTTTAAATCAATTATTTAACTTATTTGCGAATTACACTATTCTTGGGCGATTATTTTATATTTTATTTTTGGTTTCATATTGATTTGCTATAATGGATGTTGTCGAGATCTATTCCGTCGCGTAAAAATGTGCAATAACACAAAAGCTTATTATATATTTTTTTTTGTATCGCGTGCGTGTAATCAAATTAGAGTGTAGTGAACACTGAGCAACGATGTCTTGATAGTTGTAGGGCAAATCATGGAGAGAGAGGCACGTTTTTAAATTTAGCTAACGCTAATGTTAAAAAACTGCGACAAAGGTCGCAAAATTTGAGTAATAAAAATTCCACTTTTTTAATAAATAGTACGTACCGATTGCGTAAAAATTTACAATTTACGTCGGTTTTTTATTTGCATAAAGTTTAATCGCGTTTAATGATTTACAAAATTTAAAATATTTCGAAAGTAAACTACATACCTTAACGGATCAACGATAGATAGTTTTAATGATTTAAACTTGTGAAATAGATTTTTAATCTGTCTATCAAACTATATTTAGTTTAATTTAATTGATTAAAAGTCAAATGCAAAAAAAATTTCTTTTTTTACTTTTTACTTTTCATTTTATTTTCTGCTAATTACAAAACTAATGATCCAAATTTTTTTTTTTCGAATAGTACTGTAGTATAATGATGATGAATTATTTGATTTTAATTCTAATAATATTTCATAAATATTTATTTGTTATTTCCATAATTAATCAAAAATTTTGTTACTGTGAAAATTAGAGTTTATGATAATTTTTTATTACTATCATATTCATCAGTATCACGTGACAATTCCGTTACGGATCGACAAAAGCATAACGATATTAACTCAAGCAATTTTTTTACATGATAATAATTAATGACTAAATCATCCAATTTAATTTTATGATTTTATATTCAAAGAAAAGTTCAGTCATTCTTTTCAATGTAGTAAAAGTAGTTTATTTATTACAGGGCTGGGTTAGAAATTATTAACTTAATAATATCATTATATAAATTTTAGCAAACAATTTTAGTTAATTTATTATCATCGAAGCATAATATTGACTAGAATCATTTGCGAAAATTTTTTTATTCTTCATTTACGCCGATCAATTATAGGTGTCGTCGAAATTAATTACGGTATATGAAGCTCCGTAATTATTTTATAAATTATTGAATGCCGATCGTGATATTTTAAGGCCAAATTCACATTTTGCCGTAATGGCGTAATGCCGTAATTATAAACACGACATTTCGACGACACCTATACGATAAATTGTAAGTTTGTAACCCAAGTTTTAGTTACAGTTATACTACTAATAAAAATTTTTAATGTTACACATATTGCACAAGAGTTTATTTGCGAATAAATTTACCACGACCTCCGTTACTTTTTTTTTTTACGCTCCATTTATTAAAGTAGCGTTATTTGTTATCTTTGAATTTAATAGATAGATTGCATTCTATATATATACAACCAAATCGTATGAAAATATCCAAAATGAATTCTAAAGAAAATCTTAAAAATTTATGGAAGGGATACAGTTTTGAATACCAGGTAAAAACAATTCACTTTATCATTATTATTAATAACATATTTTTTAAATGGTAATAGTTTTTTTTTAATTATTTATTATAAAAGGTCCATGTCATTACAAATTCTACTATAGATTCTACTACTGAATTAATAGAAGAGTCAAATAGAAAAGTAGTTTATATGAATGACTTAGAAAGCAGAAAACAAGCATATGGAATATGCGGAGAATGTAATGAACCCGGTACAGGAAGTAATTGGTGTCAGCCTTGTAATGCTAAAAGATTTAAGGATAACTTTAAGAATTGGACTAGTGGAAGTAAAGATATTGATGAATTTATACAACAATCACAACTTAATGCTGTGCACTATAGAAAATATCTTGAATGGATTCCTTTTGAAAATTTTAAAGATATTACTTTTATTACCAAAGGTGGATTTGGTAAAATTTATTCAGCTAAATGGCCTGAAGGATATATTGATTCTTGGGATATTGTAAATCAAAAATGGAAAAGGAGTAATAATAAGAAAGTTGCATTAAAAAGTTTGGATAATTCTTCTTATTGTTTAAGTACAGAATTTTTAAATGAGGTAATAATTCAAAATAAATAATGTAATCTATTTACTTGATTTTATTTATGTATTATTTATATATTTATTAAAAATTTTTCATATTATTTTATTAGATTAGATCTCATCTTCAGATTTATCTTTTGGATGTTATTCAATGTTATGGAATAACTCAAGATTCAATTACTAAAGATTATATGATGGTTTTAAAATATTGTGAAGATGGAAATTTGAGAAATTATTATATGAACAATAAAAAAAGTTATTATTCGAAAATTGATACATTACAACAAATTGCAAGAGGGCTTTTAGATATTCATAATGCTGGAAAAGTTCATAAAGATTTTCATTCAGGCAATATATTATATCATGATAATCCATATATAAGTGATTTAGGAATGTGCCAACCAGCAAATAATGAAAATCAATCAGCTAAACAGGAAGGGATTTTTGGAGTATTACCTTATATGGCACCAGAAGTTTTACGTGGATATCAATATACAAAAGCATCTGATATTTATTCATTTGGAATAATGATGAATGAATATATATCTGAAGAAACTCCTTATAATGATATTCCTCATGATCATGCTTTATCTATTAAACAATGTAAAGGACTTAGACCAAATATTTTTAAATATACACCAAAATTACTTGCAGATTTGATTACTAAATGTTGGGATGCTAAAGCAGAAAATAGACCAACTGCTAAGGAATTGTATCAAGAACTTAAAAAATTAGATGATAAAATTTATGATCCTAGTGATATTAAATCTATTAAATCTCAAATATATGAATATGATGATAAAATAAAATTAAACAGAACAAGTGAAAAAAGAACTAAAAATTTTCAAACACATCCACAAGCAATCTATACAAGTAGACTTTTAAACTTCAAAAATCTTCCAGAACCAGTAAATTCAGGTAATTTAATTAATTTATAGTTTCAGATGGTTTGGATTGCCAATTAGATGAATCAGGTAAGATATTTATTCTTAAATTTTTATTTTATATTGTTACTTTATATTTATATATTATTGGATGATTAAACTAAATAATAGTCTAATAGCAGCACATAGTGCCGCATTAGACTATTATATAGTTTAAATCATCCAATAATAATATTATCAGTTTGACGGGACCGTTCATGCAATTTTTATAATAAACTCTCGTTGCTATCCAATAATTTTATTATTATGCTAATGCATAGTAATATGAGATAACCGACCTAAATAACAATTATGTAAAATCTGCATGAACTTATGAGGATAACTGATAATTATATATATTTATTTGTTTATTTATTTTATAGATCTTAATGAAATGAATCTAGATGATGAAAATAATATTGAATGAAGTTTTCTTTTTGAATCAGAGATATTAGTTTAATTAAATAATATTATTAAATTATCTTTTTATGTATTTTATATATGATATATTGGTTAAAAATAAAATTTAAATTGTTATATTTAATAAAAAATCATGATTATAAATTAGCCAGAATTAATTCTATGTATTTTTAAATATTTTAAATGTTCTTTATGAGTAAAGATCAATGTCTTAAATTGTCTTAAAGAGCAAGAAACAGTCCCTATAAAAAAAGTTTGTGCTAAATTTGTGCCAAATGGGTTAACCCTATAAAAAAATTGGATATGTTTTTTATAAAGTTTTCATTGCAGAAACTTTTAAAATCGAAACCATATTGTAACTAGTGATGGCAACGGTCACATATTAACCGGTCATGACCGGTTATAATCATGACCGATATCAATCAGTCAAAGGCTTCTGACTGACCGTTTGACTGACCAGTTTAACTGACCATTTGACTGACCGTTTAACTGACCATTTAATCATTTAACACTTTTTTTATGAACTTAATCAATAAAAAAGTTGTTATAACATTTTCTTTAGCGAATTTAATCAAAAAAAATACTTTAATGTTTTTTCTTAATTAAATTCATTAAAAAAATGGTTAAACAGTCAGTTAAATGGTCAGAAAAATGGTCAGCCAAAATGGTCGGTCAGTCAAAGGCCATTAACTGGTTATGACTGACTGATAACTGACTGTGACTGACCATTGCCATCCCTAATCGTGACCATGTTAAAATTTTATCATAGGAATTATAACCAAGACTTGGTCACAACATGGTTTTACACTGCCACGATAAGTTTAACATAATCGTATATACAGTCAACTCCCTCTATAGTCACTCCCGTTATAGTCACCTTCTACTATATAGTCACACCAGTTGAATGTTCAAACACTTTATTATTAAAATCTATCCTATATAGTCACAATCTATCTATAGTCACTATCACACCTCTATCTATAGTCACTATCACACCTATCCTCAAAAATCTTATATTAAAAAGAACCGTTTATAATCACAGTTATACACACCCCTACCATAAATTACCGGATTTTTTTACTATTTGTAGAATTTATGCGTAAAATTCAAAATTTTATATATATATGAAAAAATTTTTTCACTTAATAATTAAATATTTTTTTTTTTCTTAAAATAAAATATCGAATATGAAGTTTATTATATAAAAAATTTGGACCAATAAAATTAATATTTAGTATGTCCACCTTTAGCCTTTATTACTGCCTCGATACGACTAGGTAAACTTAAAATTAGGTGGTGTAATGTTTCTATGCTTATTTTTCTCCATTCCTCCTGTACTACACTAATTAACTCCTGTTTAGATTTAGGCAAAGGCTTCCTTTTTCGTACCTGACGATCCAAATGGTCCCACAAGTTCTCAATCGGGTTTAAATCTGGGCTTTGCGCCATCCAGTCCAACATTGGAACATTATGCGTTCTCATCCACCAAATACTATAATTTGATGTATGACATGAAGCTCCATCTTGCTGAAATATGAAACCAGGGTAATTATTTACCCATGATATAAAGTGATTAGCTAAAACATTGACGTAATCATCAGAATTCATGTTTCCATCAATCACAACCAAAGGTCCCACTCCATGCCAGCCAAAACAACCCCAAAACATCACTGAACCCCCTCCAAACTTAACTGTAGGTTGAATACAATCTTTATTGTAGGCTTCTCCAGGACTTCTCCACACTTTTACTTGGCCATCTGATTCAAAAAGAGCAAATCTTGATTCGTCAGACCATACTACCTGTTTCCACTCATCTTCCCAATTTCGTTTTTCTCTAGCCCATCTCAATCGATCTTTTCGTTGTTTTTCAGTTAAAAGAGGTTTCTTACATGTAAAATAACTGCTAATACCTACTCCATGAAGATATCTTCTGACTGTACTTTGATGCAAAGTTGTGTTAAGGCTGGAGTTTAATCTGTTTGTTATATCACCTAGAGGAGAAAACCGATCAGTACGAACAATACGTCGTAGAATTCGTGTATCACATTGAGTTAAAATTTTTGGCCGCCCAGAACGTTTCTCAGGTATTGCAGAGCCCGTTTCTTTATATCTTTTGATAGTATCACTTACTGTACTGGTAGGTATATCAAGCTGAGTGGAAATAATTTTTTGTTTGACGCCACTCAAATAAGCACCAATAATTCACTCACGTTTAGTTGCTGACAGTTCGTTTCCACGCATTTAAGACTAGAAGAGTAACAAAAACATTTTTTTTTTTTTGTTTCTTTGTTTATATGTGCAATAGGGAGAAATCGCAGATTGTGACACCGATGTGCCGATTCACGTGACAAAAATCCGGTAATTTATGGTATGGGTGTGTATAAAGAATATATTAAATAACTTGGCATCTAATAATCGTACAAAGATGTATCATAGCTTGTTAGAATCGTCTCACTGAGACGAATCGAATGGTGGTAGTTTTATCCTTTCCTTTGCTAGTGTTTATGGCCAGACCACCCATTGCCTCTTATGAGACTAATCTCGGGTCTGTGTTCTATCATCTTCACTGGGCAACCATTATACCGAGTACTTAATTCTTCAGGTAATAGCACCACTTTAGAAGACATCCCCCATCGGGCCATTTTAGGCTGATCTGAAGCTAGGTACACACCGCCTACTCATCCTATATCCATTGCATGATACTGATACTCAATTTATTTTACGACCTTTAGAGAGCACCTACTTTCATGGAGGACTTTCGACAGGTAACATCAACCATCTAGTACCCTTCCATACCACCATTTTAGGTACTAAGTCTCACTCAAAGGCCACTACAGCCCGCGATTACCTAGCACCGATAGTACAATTGTTTACCCCAAGTAGTATACTTTGTAGTGACCACTCGGACAGGAAGTAGCAGGCATCTGTTCAGGATCACCCCTTATGGTGGGTATCAACCACCAGGGATCACCAACCAGAACCCAAGGAGTGGGGAATTGAACCCCATAACCATGCTACCTGTTCTGTGTACGAACACCTTGGTTGGCCTAAGACCTAACAGAAGGTCTAACTACCACTAAGACATTGCACCCTCAGCTTTACCATCTAGGATGACCATCTAGCCATTACTGACCCCAAGTGGTATTATGGAGTGACCACCCGAACAGAAAGTCCCCCCCAAGGTATAGTAGTGACCTCAAGGACAGGACTGCACACATGCCAATGGCCTCATAGGGAACGTTAGAAGGACACCATGACACTTAGTTGAAATGTGCGGCCTAACCGTACACACTAATTCACCATGATGCAGTCCAACTACACTAATTCCTGTACCTTCACGCTATTGGTTGTAGCGTCCGCAGTAAAATTCTTTTTATTTCCGTGGTCATGGGAATCAAACCTGTGACTTCACCATACTCAGGCTTAATGAGGGTCTCAGTAACTAACCACCAAGATAGGGTGACCAACCCTAGTTTTATCCTTTTCCTTTGCTAGTATTTACGGTGTTATCCCCGTCTGCCACCCAGTGGTAAACAAGCTTCCCTGCTTTAACGTATATTCGTTCTCCATGAAACATTAATATTCTTGCTTGGTTTAGTTTTATTACTACTTAACTTTCAAATTGCGATAGCTCTCGCCACGATATTTCATCCTTTTTCTTCTTTCAAATTTACGATAGTTTTCTTTATGAAAGTTTATATTTTATTCATTTCATAATTCTTGTTATGACATTAAATTCACCATGAATTTGTCCAATTAAAATTAATTAAGCGAACATTACAATAAAGTTTAGGGCGAACCTATTACCTTTAAAATAACATTACGCTTTACAAACAATTAATTAAACAAAATTACTTTTTCATCATAAGAAAATAGTAACAAAAACAATTGAAACGATTAATTTTCATATAAAGGGTATTTTATTTATTCTTCATAAAATTCACAATTAACTAATTTACTTAAAGTTTTACATCGTATCTGACGACTGTGGAATTCACTTCCCATTCCCCTCCTATTTAAACCAACTTTCTTATTCTTTCTTTTCTTACTTCTTATTTCTTTCTAATATTTTATGTTATGTGTTTTCTTTTATGTGCTATCTTATATGCTATTTATATATTATCTTTTCTAATATGTTATACTATTTTAATATGCTATCTTTTCTTCAAAATAATCTTTCAAATATTATGTCGTAAAGATATAATCCATCTTTTGTGGCTGTGCTATCTTTTCTTTAAAATAAAATAATCTTTCAAATATTATATCGTAAAGATCCATCTTTTGTGGCTGTGCTATCTTTTCTACTGCGTCTCGTCAGCTATTCTTCTACTGCGGCTGCAGTTCATCAATATTTTACATGTTCCCATTTTTTTTGTTCCTTTAATTCGCTATCCTTCCTTTTTATATGATTTATCATTTGTGGCTTATGATTACTCCTCCTAATTGTTCCTATTGTTGAACTTGATAAACTGGTTGCTAAGCCACATCGATCAACTCCCCACTTGATCTATTGGTTCTCCGTTAATCATTTAATAAACATTACATCATGTAGATCATTCCTTCTCCTAAAAGTTTATCCTTTCCGGTTAATTTTATCCAATCATGTAACTTTCTATTGTTTGATCTTTTATTACATATTATTCCTCCATATTATGCGATTACTTCAGTATCTATGGCTACAGTTTGCCCCCCACCTAATATTTGAGTCCCATCAAATTCGAACTATTACTTCAAAATTTGTCCTATCAATATATTCTTTCAGTAATTCACCATTTACTGGTGTTTTCAATATCTTCCCTTCAATAGTTTTAATTCTGTATGATCCTTTAGAAATTATCTCATGTACATAATAAGGTCCTTTCCATTTTTCTTCTAATTTTCCAGACCATTGTTTCTCTTTTGCTGCGTCATAATATAGTACTTTATCTCCGATTTGTAATTTCTGCTTTGTTCTATTCTTTTTATCATGGTATGATTTTTGTTTTTCCTGAGATTTCCTGACATTTTCTTTAGCTTGATTCCTAAT